CCATCGGCTATATCGTCTCTAAAATTCGTCTTCGATTTTCATGCGAGAAATATACGATTGTTGGGTACAACGACGGGTACAAATAAGAACGGGCAAAATATCTCTGTACGCTCGGATGGACGTATTAATTAACAAATGTGTAGAACGTTTTGAAAATAAAAAGAGGCACGACGAATCAAATAACACGAATAAAACCGTAAATTAAAATCGTTATTCGTATTTTATAGGAACTAAATTTTATGTGTACACTTCTCGTATTTGTACTTAGTCTATAACGCACTCTATATTGGATAATATTGATATTACCGAAACATGTTTTTATTAGAGTTTGTTTGGATGTTCCGGGAAATATCTCTATTTCAAAAATATTCTCGATTTATTCGAAAGACCTACGCCTTTTTGCGCGCTTTGTTTTTAGCATTGAAATCCGTAGGAAGGTGAAGATTAAATAAAATGACCAGTATTATTGATAGTCTACTCGCGAACTGCAATTCAATTATGGAAAAAGGAATTTTCGTTTCCATTGTATTGTCGCCTGTTTTTAAGGAAATAATTCCGTAGCTTCCACTGTTCTGGCTTCCACGGTTCCGTTTAATTACGAATGTTATAGGGCTTGAATGGCATTGAATTTGATAATCTACTTTTCACCGAGTAGGTTCCTTCTAAAATATTGTTATCATACTCGGTTGTCCGATTGTTCACGTATGTTGAAAGAATAAACAATATTATTACGTTGCTAAAACTGGAAAGTTTCCGTAAGTTTAACTTTTTTCGATTGATTCAGACCTTGCTAATAATTTTCATATTTATTTACCTGTGAATAAACCGATGATTGCACGTTATGAAGCCAAGTAAGTTTCCGACGGTTGAACTTTGCTATTCCGAGTTAGCAAGCAGAACGCAGCTTTGTATAAATTCGTGTGTAAGTCAATGGATAGATCTGGATTATGCTAAGTCACGAGGAAGTTGATCATGAAAAATTCTTCGGGTCCGATGCTTAACCTCGATGCAAGATCGATATACGTACATGTATGCACGCGTATGTCTCCGTGTGCGTGTGCAGTTAAAACGCTGTGCAACAGACCTAGAGCTTATGACGCGCAGCACGTTCTAGGTGTGCACCCTCGTAACAGCTGTACGTCTCGCTTATACGTACGTACAACGTAGTATACGCGTACATGTACATACGTATGTATATGTATATAAAATGGGCGCAGCTGGCTTAACAAAAGGTGTACGGATAATATCGTTGGCGCTGTTTTGCACTGGAACTCGACATTCGTCACACAACGGGAGGATACACACGTACATTTCCGTAGAAACCAAAATTTTTGCGTCTCTATTGCCACTGATACTATCCTATCGAATGTAGCATCTCTTCTATCCTCTTTCCTGTCTCTTCTCTTTTTCTCGTTTATTTGTTTTTCCCCGTTGGCTGTCGATCATCGGTCCACAATTTTTACTTCGGGGAATGAAGGATTGTAACCATTGTGCCGGCGAAACGTCCTCTTTCCACTGTCGACATGCCTACTCAGGCATTTATCGAAAACACCTATCGTTCTCAGACTCGGAAGTCGCGTTCTGCGGTCTTCCTAACCGTGCATCCAGATACCTAACACGCTTCAATCATAACTCGTTTTGATCGATTCCGTAAATGTGTCTGACAAATTCGGGAACTGCTGCAAAAAGCGTTCCCTGCCCTTTTTCCCCGTTGTACCTCGTTACAAATGCAATTTGTAATTCCCCATTTGTCCTTCCAGTTTTACCATGTCAATTTTACCTGTGAATTTCGATCGCCGTTTGTGTCGTTTCATCAATATGTAAAACGATGTAACATTGCTTTCGGCCGCGGAGATAAAGCTCGTTCGAGCGTAAGCGATGCTATTACATAAGTAATTTGAAATTTCTACGCTGGAAATTTCGTTTCAAACTTCAAACAAAATAACTAATATTTCTTTAGAAGTCGTCGATTTGTTCGATTGTTCAAATGAAAAATTGCCTGACACAGTTCTCACGAGAATTGTTCAAATGATAAGTATCTTGTAATTCACATTTAAAACGTTGTTTGCGTATTTAATCGACGACTGTGTCAATCAAACAATTTGGGAAGCCGTTTGGGAAGAATGAAATTCGTATCGAGTCTCGTTTTTCGTTAGCATTCTTTTTTTTCGTCGATATTTCGCAATTTTCAACGGTGAACGAGCCGCGGTCTTGCCGCATTTCTCTTCTTTTGTGAATTGCTCGTGCGATGTGAACCAGCTGCGCGAGACGTTATACAGCGTGGCGCGGCGCGGCGTCCTCTCGGGGGATGAGACAGATTTTCTTCTTTTTAAAATCATTTAGGTCGTGGCTCGACAGCGATGTACTCATGCTGACGAGATATCGAGTTCAAACGACCCTTGAGCTCAAACGTTCAGTCGATCCATCCGACGTGTGTACACGAGCTAGACAGGCGAAAACAAAAAGTGGTTTTCGAATCGCGAATCGGCTTTACGCCACACCCGACCGAGTTTGAAATTTCATCACTGCGGCCCTTCACGGCATCCGACCTTTCTTCTGCATTTAAATCGAACTTTAATTCGAGCAAAACGTGATTACCTGTCGTTTAACTCTGCGGCGACTGTGTTACGAGCGGTATTACTTATTGATGGACCGTGGAAATCAATTTCATTTATGGGAAAAACTTAATACACAGAGACTATAAAGAATTCATATAGTATATGTATAAAAATTATACGTCACATCAAGCGTATGATTTTTATTTATTAACCACGGAAAAGGTCTCGAGCAAAATTTTATACATCGACATTGTACAAATTTTATTTTGCATAAAAATTCACGGTCTACTCATTGATGGAGCGTATCGGAGTATCAATCTTTCGGCAAAGTTTGTTCGGTAATGATGTTTGATTGCGCGAGAAAGTTCCGAAAATACACGTGTCATTAGAGCGTGCAGAAAATACGTCTTTTAAATTGTAATTGTTTCGCTTTCGGTAATAGCCGGTTTGCGGAAACAGTGGAATCGTCGTTTTAAATAGTAGGTCAGTTCTGTGTTATGACAGCGTATTAAGTCGCAATTAATGCGAAAAACTAAGCACGACTGCAGTGCCTTCGCTATAACGACGCACTTGCACGGTTTGCATTTTTCTATTATTATTTCCCGCCTTCTCAAAAAATTTTCGAGCATTACTAAGGAAAACAGTCAGAGCCTTGCGATATGACGTTGAAAAGACGAAATCTGTGGATTGGGTCGTTCCTGTTCCGTTGAACGATGTCAAGGATATTTTTTAAAGAGATAGACTAGATTCCCGGCGAGGGACGGAAGACTCGTAAACGGCTAATTCCAAGCTCTGTCTACGTGATCAAGCAAACAAGCACGTTTCAATGAATAAAATATGCTCAACGAATAAAAGCGTTCAAATCTATGTTCAAAATACTAGCGGTGAATACTCCAAGAATTCAATTATATTTCAAAGTATATACGCCTTACAGTATCGGAACGAAAAGAAAATAGAAAATGATAAGTACACGATACGTCTTGACGAGTGATAACACTAAATTCAGGGGTTCGTTTCTTTTTTCAAATATCGATCCTATTCGCTTTCACCGGGCTGTAAACTGGGCTATCCCGCAAGACGTGTGCTTACCTTTCGGATACCAAGTTCATTGATCGAGATAGAAGAGATTTCGAACGATGCCAAGATGGAAATGAAACTACGAGATGGAAGGAATCTGGAAAAGGGTTGATTAGGAACGCGTTCTGCCAATGGAAGACAGGTTTTATCCAATGATTCTCGTCTTTCACTCGATTTCATCCAATTGTGGACCAAATTTTGAGTAAATACATTTTCTTAAAATGTCATACTATACAACATGTTCAATTCATCGGTTAATCCATTTATTTAAAGGAACAAGCTAATAATTTAAAAGAAATAATGTTAATGAAATGGTAAATGATGTCGATTTTCATTTACACGCTTTTTGATGGAATTCATAAGTAACCGAGAGAGAGAGAGAGAGCGCACTTAAAGGCAGAGGAAATCTTCTGCTTCAAAGCATACGCTGGTTCGAAGCACTGAATGAATACATGCATTAACCTTATTAATGTTTACCTTGAACTTCACTTTTAGAAATTGTTACGTTCACAATGTGTCTTGCGTTCGTACGAGAGTCACATTGCATGATGAAGGGCAATATTTTTTAATACCTCCACGACTTGGTACAACCCCATTATCCTTAACATTCATCTCGCTCTTTTAATGAAACGTACAATATTATTAAATTTTCCACGTATACGTAATTCCACATTGCCAAAAAAGTATTTCACGAACAACAAAGATACGATCTTGATATTATACGGACTCTCAATTAACAAGATCTCTTTTATCTCATTGAAAACATTTTCAAAGTTAAAAAAAAATGGCACATAGTCCGTTACTAGCAAAACCCGAAACGAGACGAGTCTAATAAGTGTTGTCCTGTTGGTGAAAAAAAGCGGTCTGGCAGCCCTCGTCGGGTACTCTTACCGACCGTCTCGTGCACGAAAAGAAGAATATTCGCCACGAGGTCACGTTTCCAACCCCCTTTTCCATCCGCTCTCGTTACAATGTATGCGCATTTACGTATGTGCGCGTGTCGTCGCGTCTGTAATCACCCCATTTCACGGTTAATCAGCCGAGATGCCGGAAGACAAGGGAGGTAGTAAGAGGCGCAGGGGAAAAAAGGTATGGAATAATCAGGAGAGACAGAGAGAACTAGGAAGAGAGAGAAAAACACGAACGAAGATGCGGTGAAAGAGATAAAAAATGATATAAAAAGACAGAAAGAGGCCATCGATACAAAAAGGAGAAAGCGAGGAAAGGGTAACGTGAGCGAAAGAGCAAGAGAGAGACAGAAAGAGAGAGAGAGAGAGAGAGAGAGCGATGCAGGAAGGGTTGTATAATGCACCGTTAGCCGAATTTAGCGAAATGTCGCAGTCAAGCACTCTTGATATACCGCACCTGATCAATTAAGCTGCTAATCTCGCCGAAATCACTGGTCAGGCTGTCGCCACTCATCCACTCCCTTTTCACGATGATTATCTTGTGTATCGTTCGCTCGGTCCACGGTTCTTCCCGCTGTTCGACACCGGCAACATTTCTACCACGTTTCGTTTCACACGGTGCGTCTTTTGCTGGTATACGCGACGGAATGACAAACAGGTGGAGCCTGTCCCGAGGGAACAGTCTGCCGGGAAGCGTGACCAGCGCGGTCGCAAAGAGCGGTTCGACCCTGACGAGTCTCGCTCCTCGCACGACTGGCTGAAACCTAGAATCGAGGCTTGCAACTGCGACCCTTCCAACTCCCTTCACCCCCTTTGGCAGCAGTCGGGGAGGCCACGCAGTGGCGCCACGAGCTTGCAAAAGCTCACCCCTCCGAGCACACCCCTGTCCGTACGTCGCGACCGTCGAACACTGCTCTTATCTACGGCGTGGCGCGCGCGGTTAAGTTCTGGCATCCTCGCGCCGTGGCACGGTTTAGATTCGCCGGGCCGGCGGTTTTAATTTCATTCGAGCTCCCCCGCGAATTCCCGGAATCTTCATTTCACCTAGCGGGGAATAGTTCTGCCCCCCCGCCCATCACCTCCTTTTTTTTTTCCATTTGTTTTACCTGGTTTGTGTTCTGCACGTTTAATTGATCGTTGATCAATTTTCAAAACGAGCTCGATTTCCTCGGCGGTGTACAACCGCTCATTTTAATTTGAGAAGTTTGAGCGTCGGATGATTGTACACGCTGCCACCATTAGTTTCTCATTACCGATTTCGGTAAATGGACGTTGCGTTTGTTCCGCGCGCGCGACGCCGTGTTAATGGTTGTCGTTTGACTGGAGTGCGATTGATCGATATTTGCACTCGGTCCCGCTTCGTCCGAATTGGTCGAATCTGAGATAATGCGAGCAGACACTCGCGCGCCATACGTTCCGTCGATAAGATGTCAAATTGATTCGAGGGTGCACTGTACGATTGTTGTATAGCGGCTGCCTGACACGAGTATCGGCTGGCGATTGTTTGAGAATTGTACTGCAATTAACGGTACAAGAGTTATTTGGTATCGCACCACTCGATGTCCATTGCACGTTCCATTGTCTATCCTTCCGCTAAACAGTTAGATTAGCTCGTGTGTTCGTGGCATGAGTCGTGAAAGAAAGCTTACGCGTACACGATTTCGTTGTTTAGCTCAGGGGTAGGGAATAAAGCTGAGTAATTGATCAAAAGAACTCGTCTCGTTCGCGATCGCCTGTTTGTAGGTAGTTTTCATTCAACCACCATCTTCGACGTATTCCTTTCTCTCGGCCCGTTCCTCCAGGAGCAACCACCTGTAACCCCCCGGAGACAGACGTTCGTTTCGAAGTGCACGCCCTTCCCTCCTATCTTCTCCCAGTTACCCGTTTGCACGTAGCCTTGAAGCTTAGCCTTATTCGCTCTTAGCCTGGTCGGCTCGATCACCAATCGCGCCGGGCGATCCATCAAAAGGCCGCGCAACGAAATTCTTGCACCGTTTGGAGCGGAACAACCGATAGCACCATGTAACGCGATTTTTTTATCTCTAATACAGTCACGTCGTTTTAAGGATTCCAAGATCTCATGAGTATAATGTTATTTAGAACGAAATAAATATTGAGTGAAATTTATGGTACCTAGAAATGTTAGATGTTTCGTAGAAATAATTTTTAGGAGACCTAAAAGAGATGCTGTTGTTCAACTTTTTATTTAAATCCTTCAAGATTCTTTTCCATTTATTTTGACGGACCTTCCGTGGATAGATCAATCATGCATGGTGATCCATCAAAAGCATTTGCGATAGGTTTCGGTGTGCTTCTGGCACGTTTATTTGTTACCGTGTAGATCGTTACTTGGTCATCGTGTTTCTCAGACGAAAAAAGGAGTCGACGTATTCTTTTAATATACGAAACTTTGTAAAGCGTAGTGTTTCTTGATACAACATAGATGCAGAATAATGTCGGAGAGAATTAATTATTGAAAGAAAAATATGTTTATTTATATGTTTCATTCTGGCAGCAACTTTGATGGCCGTAAAGTTATTTGAGAAACAAAGCAAGAATGGAAATAGTGCTCTCAGGAAATTGAAATTTCTGAAACAAAATAGAATCCAATGAAAGCGCACCGCTGTGCCATAATCCGGCCTTTGAGGCAGACCTTTCCGAAGTTATTGAGTGAACTCGCGCCATGCGTGTTTTCTTTATGCAGTTCTACGAGACACACTGTTTCCTGTACAGTATCTCTTAACTTTCTCTATTTACGTTCCGTACGAAAAAAAAGAGGGTAAAATACGTTAGAACATTGCCTTGAACAAGGGCGACGATATTTTCTGCTCGAATCTGATTCTGCTCGTGCTACGGTACACTGCCGAGCCGTGAAAGAAATCCAATAAAAGTCGCAATAAAAAGTGCTTCATTCTACACGCATATCGAAATTGAAAAACTACGACCCGTAGCTACATCGTCGCATTAGTTCTGCTAGCCTAGGGATATTGCTCGAAACGATCAACGTTTTATCCGACAATAAAACCGTTTTTAATATCGTACGTATTTACTGTTGCAATCTAACAAATTTTTTCAAAGCACGAGTCTCATCCATGAAAGTGAACTTTGTTATACTAGTAAAGATTTACTGCATCGGTTGTTCGTACAATGTGAGACGAGTTTGCTCGAACGAGAATAGATAGTTGAGCAAAATTTCGGCATCTTTTGTTCGCCTGACAATAGTCGCCGATAGTCTAGGTATAAGATGGATCTGCAACATTTTCAAGTTGAATGGTTGATAATCATTTTCTTTTATGCATTGCGCTTCCTCAAATCGTTGTACGCTTTCTGCATAGGAAGTATCCTCGTATGAACTAAAATTAAATCTAGTGTTACCTTATAATCTGATATACATTAATCCGATTTAACGATAGAATTTTTAAGGCTTTTCTTAACTGATGAGCAAGTTAATAAAAAATTAAACAACATCATTGAAAAAGCGTTATTCGTATATATATTTTAATTATTGGGATAATAAAAATGGGTAGATTTTCTATTTGTCCGGTTGTTCAAAAGGTAGGTTTGTTGCTAATGAATTGTTGATAACAACTCAGTTATCGATGGAAATCTACCCTTGCGTCAGAATAGAAAACTACCCTTCCATCAGAAGATCATTTATCAGAGGAACGACAAGAGGAACAACATCGTAACATTACCAAGGAGAGATTACAGGTAATCTCTCCTCGATGATAGTACCGCTGCTTTTTTCCAGCACGATAGGTAATAGGTAACCGTAGAACGTTGATATTATCAACGTTATACTTGATTCGAGATTAGTACTTCGGAAAGAGAATAACTATCATTTTCAAATTTTGTCACACTTGTATTACTTTATTTTCATTAGTGCACACCATATTTTGCATTTGAAGTAAGAATAAAAGTAATTGGCATTTAATATCTTACTGAATGTGTTTAATTGAGATTAGTTTCTGAATTAATATTCGGAAAATCGGAAGTCATTGGAAATTGTAGTTCTTCATTTGTTAGCGTATCCAAGTCTAACTCGTGAATTCAGTTCGGACATTGATTTTAAGTAGCCGTACCTCCTAGGTACTACCTAGGATTGATCACTTGGGCAAGGATTTTAAAATAAAAATGCCAAGATTCGTTTCATCCATTTATTTGTTAATCCAAAGGAAATCAGATATTTGCCTTATCGCAATATTTATTAGCGCA